TCGAGCATGGTACAGCAAAATTGATAAATATTTTTGCAACTATGGATTCACCAAGAGTATAAGTGAACCAACACTCTATGTGAAAGTCAAAGGAAGTAATCTTATCATTGTCTCTCTCTATGTGGACGACTTAATCGTTACTAGAAATAGTCCAAGGATGATCAACTCGTTCAAATCTGAGATAATGAAGATCTTTGAGACGAGTGACATGGGCATATGCATTGCTTTCTTGGGATGGAAGTACATCAAGAAGAAGGAGGTATCTTTATTTCACAGAAAAAGTATGCTACTGATATGCTAATTAAATTCAAAATGAATGAATGCAAACCTGTAGATACTCCTTTAGTTGCAAATGAGAAATTGATGAAAGAAGATGATACTAAAGAGACTAATGCAGCTACATATAGAAGCTTAATTGGGAGTTTACTTTACCTAACTGCTACTCATCCTGACATCATGTTTGCTACCAGCCTTCTTTCAAGATTCATGCAAAAGCCAAGTCAAATTCATTTCAGTGCTGCTAAAAGAATATTAAGGTATATTCAAGGCACAAAGAATTTTGGTATATGGTATAAACCAAGTACTCAATCATCCTTAGTTGGGTTTACAGACAGTGATTGGGCTGGCTCTCAGGATGATATGAAAAGCACATCAGGCTATTGCTTTACCTTGGGTTATGGTGTGTTTTCTTGGGGTTCTAAGAAGCAAAGTTCAGTTGCACAGTCAACTGCAGAAGTAGAATATGTTGCTGCCGCAGGTGCTACAAATCAGGCAATTTGGCTTTGCAAAATACTGGAAGATATGGGCTCAAAACAGGAACTGCCTATAGTGATCTATTGTGACAACAATTCTGCTATTGCTATGGCTAAGAATCCTGTATTTCACAATAGAACAAAACATATTGCTATAAAATATCACTACCTACGAGAAGTAAAAGCTAAAGGAGAAATAAAGTTGATACACTGCAAATCTGAAGAACAACTGGAAGACATCTTCACAAAGGCTCTATCCTGAGATAAATTTCAAAAACTTCGTGATAAACTTGGAGTCACAAAAATGAGCAGCAAGAAGGAGTATTAGAAATTAATGCTTCTCATTCTAGAGTATTCCTCATTCTAAAGTATTCTCTTATCTAGATTATTCCACCATTAAGTATTAATATAAAATCTTCTAGGATGCTTATCTTTTTGGAGTAAATACTTATTAAAAATAGATGTTTCTAGAATATATAGAAAAATCTAGAACTACTTGTAACCAATAGTATAAATAGGCCGGATGATGTATTGTTGAAATGGTAAGAAAAAATATATTCTTCTACTTTCATCAATATCTCTTCATTTTCATTTCTCCAACAGTGATGCCATCCTAAATTCCTTACCATATCTAACTTTAATGCTCAATAGAATGTGAAGAGGGAAACATTAAAGAGTTTCCTACTCTTTATTTTCCTAAGTTTGTAAGTCTTTACATTACATCATTTCTGCAAGACTAATGTCAACCACAAACATTAAAGAGGTCATAAAAAAGATAGTTTTTAAAAATATATCATTAAAACTAGCCTCACTATAAATGTAGGAAAATTTATTAATCAATATCTCCTGGATAAGATTAGAGGTTCAACTTTTGTAGGTTTTAAGCACCAGTCCTTAATTTATTTTCTTTATGTCCATGCAGAAGTCCTTGGAAAACTTTAGAAGGAGCATTTGTTCCCCATTTCTATTTTAACTAAAAATAAAATCCAATCTTTTAAGACACTTACTAGGGAAAATGGGGAGAGTTTGAGTCATCTTGTCCAACCTAAACCTAGAGCCCTCATACCATTGCAGATCAAATTGTCAATTTTAATAATGTAAAATTTATTATGATTTAAGCTATCAAGTTTTGCATTAACATTTCCTCCCTTTAAATTTTTGTGCAGGAAGATTCAAATTGAAAAACATGAAAATGTATAAAAGAACCAGCATCGTACTTTAGAGCATTACCGCATCCAAGGCAATATTACAACCTTAAGAGCAGAGAGTAAAAAGTGCAACTGCAGGTCTTCATATTCAAAGTACCATCCAAGAATCACAGCACCAAATAACTAAAACTCTTCAATGCTATATAGAGTGTCGTAGAACCAAATCACTAAAGCATCGCAGTAGGGCTGTTAATTCATTTACTCATTTTGAAATGACATGACGATTTAGTCAGCACTCCGCAGCGGAGTACTTCATCAGCACTGCGACGTTAGTTCATTTCAAGAGGGCTGGAATACTACTACTCTGAGTGTCATGGACCTAGAGTTAGCTATTAATTATTTATTATAAATAACATTGCTAAATTATTGAAGGCGTTGTCCATTTTATCATTTGTACTCGGTCCTAGGTAGGGTCCAGTAGAGAGTGAGTATATGTGAGAGAAAAAGAGTGATGGTTCATAAAGCAAGGGGTGTTTGTATCTATTATTCCAAGAAAAATTTGGTTCTATCTATTCTTAAAACTCTACTATTGTATTTGTTTTTATATTTACAGTGAGGCTAAATATATTTCTATGCCTATAATGTGTTAAGAATACAAGTTAACAAAAATTAAATTTAGACATATGTTGGATATAACTTTGAAATGGTTTTGGAGATAGTATCACATTAGTGAAGAAGATCTTTGTTAGAAACTCCAGAGAACCCAATAGAGCATGTTGCATATGCTTTGATTCACAATTCTAATTAGATAGATCAATCAATGTACACAAATTGTTATCTATCATAAGTTCATGATATTTTAAAACATAAAAGTTTCTCCTAGTTAATGTTTAGTTGCTCGCTTTCATCGGAGTAAACCTTTATATTTTTACATAATTATTTCAAAAATCATGATCAGCAAATTATCCTCTACTATGCCCAAAATTGATTCACCTAATAAAAATGGTTTTATTAAAGGAAAGATTTTTAAAGATAATTTTATTTTGCCCAAAACTCATAAATGATTTAAATTTAATGATTCACCTTTTTGTCAAATCAGATATTTCTGAAGCTTGTGATACAATAAGTTGGAGTTTTCTTCTTTTGATTTTTATGATTTTTTTTGAACTTCTTTATTAATTTAATTGTTTCTTGAATCAATAGTTATTGGTTCTTTATTTTGATTAATGGTTATAATACATGTTTTTTCAGATCCTCTAGAGGTTATAACAAGGAAACCCCCCTTACTCCCAACATTATTTTTTATTTAATGCATGGATACTATCTCTTAGATCTTATGTAAATTTTTTTAATGAATTTTCTTCTAAGCAGTATAAAACTAAATGTCATTTGAGCATCACACTCCTTTATTTTGTTAATGATATAATTACCTTTAAGAATGGTTCAAGTTCAAGAGTTCAAAGGCTTATGAAACTTTCATGACCAAGATTGTGTTAAGATGGATTCATGGAATCTTCGTAATATACGTTTCTGTTAATTTTTCATTCTCAGTTCTATCTGGAAAAATTGGTTTATGGTGTTCTACCATTGAATTTGTACTAATTCTTTGTATGTTGGTTTATAGGGGTTGTTTATGGTACGACACTTTCTAAGTTGCTGAAGGAAGTGAATATTAGATTCAAGTGGTATCATAGGCTTATTCTAGGCATTATTAAGGATGTTGCATTTTAAGCTAAAATCTTCTAATCTCCCTTTTGCATCTAATTATATTTCATTTTTTCTAGCTAAAATTTTTCATTGTCTTTTCTTGGCTTTCCCATAAGTTTGGGGGATTTAGATGGATAAGAACATCATCCTTAGCAGGTTCTTTGATTTCTTATTTCGGGGCTATCTAAATATCGTTTGGCAGGTTATGAAGAAGTCATTCCTTTCGTTGTTGTGCAACATTCTTAAGCACCATGAACGATAGTGCAAGTTCTTTCTGGAGCTGTTTTCTTTGTTTTCTTTTGTGCCAACTTAATTATTTAATTTCTAATTCTCTCACATAAATAAATTTTCTCTTTTGTTTAAAAAGAAACAGAATTTGCCCATCCCCCTAAAGGAAAGAAAATTTAACCAAATGCTCCATATTTATCATAATGAAGCACTTGCTTTGATCAATTCGGCTAAAATGTAAAGCTGGAGAGTACTGAGTTTTCCTGGTAAGCCACCATGCTTAAAAGAGAAGGTGGCTAGCCAAGTGGTTAAGTCATGCTTTAGGCTTATTGGACCAGCATTCCTTTCCTCCTACTCGTGATGATCACTACATAAAAAACACTTTTTCAGGCAAATTTTCCTTGCCAAAATAATTGAATTTTCGGCATAAATATATGTTTCCTGAGGAAAAAAAATTTGCAGGTAAAACAGGCAAAGGAAAATATATACAGGAAAAAAATCTGTTGAAAATATAAAATAAATATCCATTAAAAAAACAACAAGCATGTCGACCATGCTAGCCTGCTTGCCGACGGCCCACTCAAGCTTGCCCGCTGGTGCCCTGCTCCGAGTCATCTGCTGCCTGCTTACGGCCCCCTGCCCGCTCCTACAGATACGAACCCTGTTAAGGAAGTTAATTACATCGCTATGTATCTTGTACCAATGGCTAACTTACACGTGTACTCTATTATACTAGAATAGGTTATATATAGGCCTCGGCTGTTTGTATGAAGTAAGGAAAAGAATATTCAAATTAATAATTAATTTAAAATAAATATTAGTTAATTACTAAATTTTTATTAGTTAATTATTTGAATTAGTTTAGTAAATTATTTACTAAGTTAATTTAAATTAGTCATTTTATTTTATTTATATTTTGATATGAAAAAAATATACTGCTACCTAAAGTATGTGTTATTTTTTTATTCATTATTAAAAACAAATAGAACTTTGTTACAACTCTAAGGGATATTAGTAGAGTTAAATTTCAGCCCTTAGAGAAACAAAAATTTATTTAGGCAAAAGAATCTGTTAATAGCGAATTTTATGCCAACTTACAAATACAGTTTAAAAAATAAGAACATAAAAATCTATAACAAGGCTAAGCTCTATTTATACAGTCACATTAAGCTAATTCATAATTTTGCCACTGCTGTTGCAACAAAAGATAATTTGCTTCTCCAACTTCAGCCATAGACGAGCCATCAATCTGCCGCATTACCAGTTCTGGAGCATGGCAGCAGCTTTGTTGCGCTAGCTGTGAAATTATGGCTTGGACACAGCTCAACTTGGCCTGTTGGTTGAGTGCTTATGCTTCCAACTAAGAGGTCTTGGGTTCGAGTCTTTGTGTATGCGTTGTGTGTGTGAGTTTGCCTTAAATGGCCTAAATGTCCCAAAAAAAAAAATTATGGCTTGGAGTTCGAGCTTTGCTTCTCCAACTTCAGCCATAGATGAGCCATCAATCTGCCGTATTACCAGTTCTGGAGCATGGCAGCAGCTTTGTTGCGCTAGCTGTGAAATTATGGCTTGGAGTTCGAGCAAAACCTTTTCATACTCTTTCAACTCCTCCATTCCCATTAAACTCAAGTTAATATCCCACCAAAAAGAATTTGAGACCGGCGACAAAGCCTTCTGAGCAACTTTCAGAGCTCTACTCTTATTTCTCTCCTCCTCTAACTTCTTTCGCAAATAAGCTAACTCTTCGTTCATCGGATTCATCGGATCAAACGAAGTTGTTGCGGCAGATCTCGCCTTAGATGTGAAAGGAACGTTGGTAAAGCGCTGAAGGACATGGTCGACGGAGGGATGACCAAAGGAGTAAGGTTTGCCCGCGATTGAGAAGACGATAATGGCGACTTCGGCCCCGCAGAGGGTGCATAGCTCGTTAGCCTTTTTGAAAAGACCTTGGCGGCGTTTCGAGAAACATACTTGCCGGTTTGCTTCTTTCTCGATGCGCTTTATTTCTATCTTAATCCGGCCTTTACCTTTCTTCCTCGTCTCAATGGGATTCATTGTTAACAGTAAAAAGCAAGACAAAGACAGAGAGAGAGTAGAGAAGATTATGAGTATAGGAGAGCAAGATGGGTATTTATAGACGTAGAGATGGGTTGCGGTTTCCTTTTTTATGATTTAATTGTTCGTTTTATTTGATAGGATTTCTCTGTGATTTTATTGAAGGCATTTGGAAAATATTACTCGAAGCCCTACAGCATTAATTAGTATGTAATATTTTTGGAAATATAGATATATATTAAAATTTAAAATAATTAGGAGTTTAAAATATATCAATCAGATATAAATTTAAAAAATCTTTTAGCTGTTCTCTATAACACAAGCACAATTATTATTATAGAAAAGTTTTAGATTTTTTTTAAGAGAATTTTTACAATCCTTACGAAATAATTTGATTTTGATACAAATTTTCAAATCTAAAAAAATTGAATATTTAAATTATAAAAATTTGAAATTTTATTTCTTTAATTTAAAAATATATATATAATTTAATCAGTATTATTTGATGGGATAAAACTAATAGGACCAAAAATGCTTGATTAAAGTCCAATAGTTCTTGAACGTTTTGAACTTCCAATGCATCCTAATTTATCTTGATGTCTTGATCACTCTCTCTCAACTCTTTGATTCCCATTAAACACAAGTGATTATCCCACCAACAAAGCCTTAAGAACAATTTTAGATTTTCAACATTGAGGTTTTAGATGGGGGTTGGAACGACATTAAGAAAGTGCTGGAAGATGTTGCCAACTAAGAGGTGGCTGAAAGAGTAAGTCTTCCCCCTAGAAAGAATACTATGAGGGTGAATTGGGGGCATGTTGTTGAAATGAATCTTCCTGGTACCTGCAGAGAAACATAAGAAAGACAGAAAAATACATAAAGGAAATTCCATGGAGAAATCAAGAGCAACGCAGTAAAAGTTCTCCTTCAGATATCTTCATTTACTGTAGCTTTACATACATATAGGTAGAGAGTATGAAAAGCAGGATAGAGACATCAGCGTATCAGATGGAGCCGTTAGTCATTAACGGTCTAGATTAAAAGAGGTGAGCTGCAGAGCGACCTGGTACAGACTGCCACCTCAAGTAGTGGAAACAGGTTATGATGCGTTAGCAGAATTTATTTTATTTCTTTCCTTCTCATTAGGCCCCCTCAAGCCAACAGCAGGTTCTGAAATGTTGAGCTTGGATCGGAGAAGAAGAAAAAGAGGAATGGACAATGACTTAGTGAAGAAATCTGTTAGTTGATCCACCATATGAATATAAGACACTTATAGAGTTCCGTCTTTGATACAGTCACGAACAAAATGAACATCAATTTCAATATGCTTGTTTCGTGCATGGAAAGTAGGATTATGCATGTGTGAGAGCCATGGCTGAAACGTCTGTGGGCTCCGAAAATTCGGCCCCGGCCTCCGCTCGCTCTGTTCTTTCGGCGAGGGAGTTTTAACTGAATAAGTTCCGAGGTAAATTTTGGAAGGCAGATGGGTTTGTAGATAAGACACTACCCAGAGATTTTGCCCTCGTTTTGTGAGGACTATATGATCTGAGTTCTAGTTTCCTATAGGCGCAAGCCCCTATAGTTAATTACACCTCCCGATAATGAGAGAGAACTTTTGATTAAGGCTAATCGTCAATCAGATACGTAGAGAATACGTGTTATCTGGCATATAGTAGCAGCAATGGGTTTGGGTATTTTGGAAATCTGAAGATTTGGATGTTTGGGAATTTGAAGGTTTTAGATGGAGTTGATATTTAAAATAGAAAATTTCATCATCTTGCACTTAAAGCGGATGGTGGGGGAATGGATGATAGACTCGATCAAGATCTCATGGTTCCGTCGTCGTCCCGGGCCTTCGTGGTCCCTGATCTACTTAGTCAGAGGAGGTAGTCAACCCAACCTGACAGAAGGATCCTTGTCGGCAGCCATGGGTTGCTTCGTCCAAGGGGACTGTTGACCTCACTATTCAAGGTCAATTTCCCTAGAATTCAGCTCTAGCATCTAAGTCTTCGTAGCCTAGTGTAGACATTGCCCATAGGATTTCCCTTAGGTGGTCGCCCACTGACGTAGCATCGACTCGAGCCTACCACTTAATTCGAATCAAAATCAATTCAATCCAATTTTAATTCAACTCCAAATGAACTCAAATCAAGCTCGATTTATGATTCGTTGATGTCGATCGACTCAATCTAATTTATTTTCGATCAAATTGATGCATCATTAAGCTCAAAAACAACTCACCAATCAAATCAAAATCAAATCAAATTAACTCAAATTGAATTTGATTTCAATGGCTCCGATTAACCCGTTTTGACTTGTCACAAGTATATATATAATAATAATTGATACGTCGTCAAAAGTTATCTTAATCGGGCATGAATCTCGATGCAAAATCAAGTTTGGAAACATCAAAAATTAATTAGGAGACCATCCGAACTCCGATTTCAGCAAACTTACAGTCGAACTGAGCGTCTCAGGAATACAAACCCAACGACACCAAGATCAACCCAATCCGAGCCCAAATGAGTCTGAATCAAGGGCTCAAAGCGCTGTTGGAAGGTTCAAACTTCAATTTG